AGATAAGAAATGGAAAAATTACAGAATTCCAACGTTTGACATAGGCAAATATTTACATAGCAGGTAGGTATATAAAAAGGTATATAAAGACTTACATTATAGGTATTTATATATCATCCTCGCCTTCGGAGCTGTCGCTAGAGTCATCTTGTAGAGGAATTACAACGGGATTTACAGGAGGCAAAACACAATATTCATTTTCTTTTTCAATAATATGCCTAGAACACTGCTTCCATAGGTCTGTGGCAGCAATATGAGATACTGCATCTCTTATTGTGGCCAATAGCGATTCACTTAATTGAGGGGTCTGATTATGTTTTCTTACTTTTTTTTTAAAGCAGCCCAAACCAACTCAATCGGGTTAAAAATGCAATAATAGGGAGGTAGACGTAATACTTCATGGCCATTTTGCTGAAGCAGATTGTCAACAACATACTCTTTTTCAAATTTTTGTCTTTTAATAAGATCCAATAATATGGCTTTGGTTGATTTTTGTGGTATTTCCATTCCCTTATCCTTCATAAAATCAATAATGTCTTGTTTTTTTGTGCCTGTATTCGGAGTTTTGTTTTATTAGAAACAATTCAATCACATAATAATGCTGAATGAAGTTTTCTTCTTGAGCGCAGATTGAGCCAACTAACTTCATCTAGCCCTTGTGATACCCTGTCAAACTTGCGGATACCGAATATGAACGACTTCTGGGTTTTCTAAATTCGTCCACAATCCATGTTCGTTACACAAGGTCCATACACGACATCACAGTAATTGAATAGGAAGAAAACTAGAAGGTTAGTGAGAATAATCGTTAATCTAATTGGCAGAATATGGCGGTGTTCCTTGCCACTTTGACATTCGTTTTGATGTACTATTATTACCTCGAAGGTGAGGCTTAAGGTCTACTTTAAGATGATTGGCATTTTGGTTGGGAAAATAGTTTTTCAATTCTGATTCAAAAATGTATAAGTGGCGTACGTTGGTATTATAAAGCCATATATATTTAAGAAAGTAGCATTTCCTAAGTAGGTCTTGAAATTAGCGGCTACTTCATTGAATCAAGCATTCCTTCAGTTTTCATTAACTAGGCATAGGTAAATATTTTCTATTTATTTAAAGCTTCAAGTAACTTCTTAAAGTTGGCCCCAATTTCTCAAATGGAAAATAACACAGTGCAATGCCAACTTTTGCATATTACTTGATGACAATAATGAAAACATCCAAAATGATATATTTTCAACAATCTTCAGAAACATTTTAGATCAAATGAAAGTTTCGGCGATGATGCAGGAATGTTTGGTCTAGAATGATTCTATGAAACAAATGACTGGATATATTGAAATTTTGATTATGGTCTCTTTGTAGCGGAGAATAGGTGACAATGTGCAATTTATTGTCACACCCCGTCTCAAATGAAGACAGGAAAAAACAAAACGATTTTGGTAAGATTACATTTTTTCCGAATTTCGAAACTTTCCAAGTCTTAGTTACCTAAATGCGCAACTGTGCCCCCATTTAACAGATTTCGTATCCTTTACCAATCTGAGATACCAATGGTGGTGGATGGGTTGACTACCAGAGGAATTGTCGCTCGGCGAGCGGCTCACTGCTGACAATTTTGACACGCAGGTAAGCAAGGGCAAATGGGTTGTGTGAGGCTGATGATGCTGAGCAATATACAGGAGGACAAAAATTAATCAAAAAAACAAAAGTAGGTTCCTACTTGCTCGGTTGTTCATGTTATTTACATAAATAGGTACGAATGTATGAACATATATGTATGATGAAGAGGTAATGAAAACCTTGCGCAACGCTACTCATTACGAAGAAATGCTGCACGACTGAGGGTTTTCAGTGAGTAAGCCGCTTCTGGAGAATATCACACTTCAGTTAAGAAGGGCCGAAAGGGCAATACAGTTGAGCTTTTCTGCCTGGGAGTGGCTATAAAAGCTTTACCCTGTCAAACAACAAATGGAGAGAATCGAATTAGAAACACCGACCCAAAATGTTTGCAATAATATCAAATTTGAACCACCCTCCTTGAATTGCTTGCAAAAATATCGAGTTTCTTTGTCCCTAAATGTTCCAGTTTCCCTGGCCTAACCAATAACGAGGCCTTTTACCACCGCTGTCGAGTCCATTAATATACACAGGAACGCAGCATGCTTGTTGTGTGGAAAAAATAAGCGAACGCTATACTTGGATCTCGATTTTTTATGCTGCCTCGTGGTTTATCGGAAAATCCCTCAGAACGTTTTCATTATCCTTTAACCTTCATCACAGAATCGCAAACAACATTCATTTCTAATTCAATCACATTTTGATCCAATTACGATTGCATCCATTGGTAAACAGGGTCGAATAATTATTATTGTTTGTCTCGCTTGAAGTGGTTAATTAAAAAATGCCGCTTGTTGACAAAGAACAGTCTATGTTTTTCCAATACCGACTGGTTCACCAAAGTACTCAATTGTAAAAATAAGATGAGGTTTGCGTGACAGATGCAAAATTCTACGGTTTAGGCTACGGTCATTATGGGCGCTAGTCTTGACCATAAAATATCCATATTATAGAAAATGGGTTTCAGTCGATTTGCCTAAAAATTCAGTCTGATATATTTCTTGCCTTCCCGAACAAAAGTGTTCATGGGACAAAAGCAATCCTTTTAGTTTCTGAAAAATTAATAAGCGGATGAAGTTTGCATGATTTGCAAAAATGGTGAATGAGCCTATTTTGTAATTCTGATACCAAAAACAGGGAGAATTAGTATACTAAAAGAAATATTTCGTTAAAACACCTTGTAGGAAGGTGTTGAGAGGTGCCATGCTGATCGTAGCCACGATCTCTACTAGGACAGCGTCAGAGTTAGTTGATTTTTGTATGTTTATGCTGAAATTGATCTGGCAGGAGTTGCTCGAGAATGAAAGAAACTCAATAGGACAGGTAGCTTTTGAAGAACATATTTTATGTCTTACTCTTACTGCATTTGTAAATCTACAAAGATTATCGATTGACTGCAAAGCTAAGGTTTTCGTTAAACAAAATATATTAAATTGCAAAGAATGTTAAATCAGAACCAGATTATAAAGGATTCCTTTTGTACTGTTTACGAATAGTCCATACACCATTCGAAGCCGTTGTTTACAAAGCTTTTCTAGAAAGTGTCTAGATTCGGCGATGATAATGACTTCTTGAATCGTGAATGTTAGTGTTTTCAAGTGGAAGACGTACTTGTAATAAATAGAGCATACCTAGATGTCACTGTATTTGGGTATAAATTGGACAAGGCCTTCACCTCTGGAAGAAAATCAATGGCAGCTGGATATTTTCAAACAGAACTGTCCTATATTTACATCGGAATTGCAAGAGGAGGAAATTTTATTTCCGATTAAGACCTTGAACATGACCTTTAAGGTCAAAACTCAAAACGTCTGAAACAATTTGATCTAATAAAACTGTTCGGGAGTTATCCAGACGTTACCTTGACAATTACCTTTAAGGTCAACTCAACATTTTATCGTTTTCATAGTGGAATTAGGAAGAGTAGAAAATTTTACGTCCGAATGTGACCTTGACATCAAAGTCAAGGTTATATCAAGCTCAATTGTTGTTTGCAATTCCAACAAAAGTGTTCGACTCCAAAATGAGGGGTTTGGCGGGAATTAGCAAAAGATGACCTTGATGATGACCTTGACCATTATCTTCAAGGTCTTATCAAGTTTAAATGTTATTTTACTCATGTTTGTTAATTCATCTAGAGTTTACATGTTCAGATAAAAAATCCTTTGTTCTCTTTGCACAAATCAAGGGGTTGCCTGAAAAATACCATTAGAGTTTGACGTAAGCTTGGCTTTGAGATAAAGGTCACATCACGCATTTTTCTTTGCTTTTTCCAAATCAAGTACAAAAATGAGGGGTTTTCCTTGAACACATTTTGTGCTGTCGAACATTTTTCTGGAGCAAATTGTTTTCGATGTATTGATTTGACCTTAAGATGGATGTGACTTTGAAGGAAATGATAAAGGTCAGATTCGAATGTAAAACCTCATCATCTCAAATCCGATGTGAAAAAAGAGTTCCATTTGAAAATATTTGCTCGAACTCAAAAATGCCTCGAAGGTCGAGATCTATGTCAAGGTCATGATTTTGTTTCCTAGAAACCCTACATCTTTTGTTTAAAACTTCTTTCTAGGATGCATAGTTTAGGTTTGGACATTGAAGTGGGACACCCTGTACATCAATTTAGATTAAAAACGTCACGTGGTCATGACCAATACTTCGTCCTGCATGTACCGAACGACCTTTACTTAATTAATATCGTTTGTCCATTATCTCTGTACAATCATGAAGGTCGATGTAGGGTGCCCTTTACATGGTGCTGATACTTGTAAGTAGTCCTTGGTTCAATGCCTCAATAGCTCCACGCACGTCACGTTAGAGGTGGCCCTTTGTTGAGAGACATTATGCTCCGAAGTTGCACGATATTGGATGCGGAATGACGTTCAGGGCAGGCGATATATTTTGAATGGAAGAGGGAAAGAAGCTTTGTGTGTTCAAACAGAAGTTACTTTCATGGAATGTATAACCGTCTTTTATATGCTTGCACAGAAAATATTGTACATTGTGAATGTAAGACCTCTTTTGCGCTCACGGAGAAAAGAGGAAACATCTTGTCAACAATGTTTGATAACTGATTATACTAGCTCTTTTGAGTTATCTAAAATATTATTCAAAAGCTAAATTGCAATACAATACGATGTTGTACTCGTATAAGCTGATACAATAGGACAAGTACAGTTCTATTCATAAAGAAAGCGTACACGAATTAGAATGAGAGGAAACCTTAACCTTATTTGCGTAAAACCGGCTTGTCTAAATGATTGTTTATTGGAGGTTATCACACGTCGTAGATTGTCAAAAATGCAAAGCATTGACGTCGGTGTAATTCATTCCGAAAATGCGTGGTGGTAACGTTTGATAAACTTTGACAGAAGAAAATAAAAATGCCTCGTCAGTTGTCTGAAGTTGAAAAGGCTCAAATTGTATCAAGAATCGAAGAAGGATGGTCAATCCGTGCTGTAGCGCAGTTGTATAATAGAAATAAAAAAACCATATTGAAAATTAAGCAACGCTGGGAACAGGAAGATTCCCTAAAGAGGAAAATTGGTCCAGGTCGTCCCAAACTTACCAACCCTGAACAGGATGCTGCTTTTTTGGGATATTTAAGAAATAATCCATTTGCAACTGTAAGGGATGCTGTTATTGATACAGCATTTCCTGCCTCCCAACCTACCGCCAGCAGGAGAGTAATGAAATCTGAACTAAAATGTCACCCTGCTGCGAAAAAAATGTTTCTTAACGAAGAACGGCGACAATCAAGGATTATTTTTGCTTTAAATTATATATACCGCAATCCTCAATTTTGGAACAGGGTCATTTTTACTGATGAAAAGACGTTCCAGTTGACTTATAACGGCCAAATTCGTGTTTACCGTCCAAACAATACCAGGTTTGAAGAGCGATATACTAACCCCCTCAATTCTAGACCTGGGCGTTTCTCTGTAAATGTATGGGGCTGGATAAGTGTTCATGGACCTGGTGTTTGCTGGCGAATAGAGGGAAGATTTAATGCCGGAAATTACATTAACATTTTATAAAACATATTGTTACCAAGTGCTGAGCAAATATATCCCAATAATACGTTCATATTTCAACAAGATAATTGTCCAGTTCATACGGCCAATGCTGTAACCCACTGGTTTCAAACCCATAATGTGGAAGTGCTGCCTTGGGTCGCTTATAGTCCCGATATCAATCCAATCGAAAATATTTGGGGTATAATCGTAAAAAAAATATATAATCGAAATTTTAGGCCACAAAATTCAGAAGATTTATGGGAAATAATACATGCGTGCTGGGAAGAGCTTGATCCAAATATTGTATCAAATATAATTCAGTCAATTCCGAATAGACTGGCTCAAGTAATAGAAAAACAGGGATATATGACCAAATATTAGATTTTATTTATTCTTGTTAATCGTTTTTTGTTTCTATTGTAATTTTTATAAAACTGTTAAGATGTAAAATAAAGAAATACATTTTTGTTACTGTATTGAACTAATGCCCGACACCCATGCTTTGCATTTTTAATAACCTTTAACATGCGATAAGCCGGTTTTACGCAAATAAGGTTAAGGTTTCCTCTCATTCTAATTCGTGTACGCTTTTTTTATGAATACAACTGTACGTCCAAAATGACATATACGGACAAAACGACACATTAGTGATATTTAAAAAACTGCGCGGTATAAACTGTCAAAAGTTAGCCAATCAAGAAGCACCTACACCGGAAATATGCCATTGGACTTTTGAGAGCCGTTTAAAATACAGAACGGACGCCATGTTGACATTTGTGTTTCGAGGTTGGAAAGAAATTTGTTAGTGGTCATTTGTTTTTTGTTTTTCGGTAAGTTTTCTTTTGTTATTTTACTGTCCTATAATTTTATATTTCGAAGCATTTTGTGTTTGAGGTGATTGCGTAGAATTTAAAACATTGTCACTGCAACAAGATTATTCTTCGAATCGTAATATTTTTTGAGGCTATGTACAAAATGATATACAACCACTATGGACAAAACGACATAATGTGTTATTTTGTCCGTAGAGATGGAGGTAAGAAATTTTTTAAGTAAATCTACATAAATCCTTTAATTTACAGAATGGAAATATGCCCCGAAATTATAAGAGGACAAGTAATCGGCAATCATGGAGTCAAGAAGAGATGAAAAAAGCTATTGAAGCTGTTAAAGAGAAAAAATGGGTTGGCTTCTGGCTTCTAAGACCTTCAAAGTGCCACAAGCTACACTAAAGTGGAATGGTTTGCAACAAAATAAAACAGTTGCACCTGCAGCAAAAGGTTTAGGCCGATTTCAGCTAACATTTCCTCTTGAAATTGAGAGGCAATTGGTTGAGCACATTAAGCTACTTGAAACTCGTATGTCTGGATTAGCGCGTACAATAGTCCAAGATCTCGCTTTCGAATTGGCTGAAAAGAATGGCTTTTCACACAGTTTTAATAAAGATAAGGGTAAAGCTGGCCAGGAGTAGCTAGATGGATTTTTAAACCGCCATAAAGACATATCTTTACGAAAACTGGAGCCTACCTCCGCAGCTAGAGCCCAAGCCTTTAATAGACCTCAAGTAAGAAAGTTTTTCGATAACTATCAAGAATACATAGACAAACACAAATTAAACGCAAACCGGATCTACAATGTGGACGAATCGGGGCTGTCTACTGTCCAGAGACCTCAAAAGATCCTGGCTACCGCTGGCAGGAAGCAAGTAGGTGCCATCACAAGCGCGGACCGGGGATCTAATGTGACAGCTGTGTGTTGCATGAACGCAGCTGGGTCGTATGTACCTCCTTTCATGATTTTGGCAAGGAAAAATATGAAAAACCAGCTCGTGGATGAAGCACCAACTGGTACGATAGGAGTAGCTCAAGAAAGTGGGTGGATGACCACCACAAATTTTCGTGAAGTGGCTCCAGCATTTTCAAAGCTTTGTAAAACCTAGTCATAATGATAAAGTCGATGGCCATGCCAGCCATAAGTCATTCGAAGCTTTGAACTTTGCCAAGGAGAATGAAATCGAAATTGTTTGTCTTCCTCCACACTGCACCCATCGTATGCAGCCTCTCGATGTGCGCTTTTATGGACCGCTCAAGACATATTTTAACCAAGGGTTTTCGGTTTGGCTTTTAAATCATCCAGGAAGAGTGGTGACAGCTCTTCAGATCGGATATTTATTTAATCAAGCTTATGGAAAGTCTGCTTCAGTTCAAACTGCATGCAATGGTTTCAAAAACACTGGACTATGGCCAGTTAATCCAGACATATTTCCAGATCACTCTTTTGAACCAGCTGAAACAACAAATATGCCAATAGCTTCCACAGCTGATAACTCAGACTTAATCCAGGATCAGAACCTTCCATCGTTGCCAATAGAACCGGAGGCTGGCGAGATTATGGCCCAGGAACAGAATAAGGCCCCTGAATCTTCATCAAAGCCATCCACTAGTTCCTGCAAACCATCTACTTCATCGGATTCTTCAGACGCAATAGCAGTCACTAATGATATTCATAACGCACTGACTGACCCGTTAGACATTTCCCAACCATCCACGAGTTCCTTTGCATCGACAAGTTCTTTAGCTGTTCCAGTTAATGTCATTTATCCAGTTCCCAGTGGTAAATTTGTAAGTGGACATGGTAAACCAAAGCCAAAGAAACGAACGACAACATTCCTACTTACGTCATCAGCAAATATGGCAGAATTAAAGTACAAACGAGATATTGCAGCTGAAAAACCAACTCGTAAAAGGAAACAAGCAGTTACTAAGTCCCTTTACATTAATGATGGCTCAGATGAAGAGCGCTCTGATCAAGACGACGAAGAAGATGATTGTGCCTGTATTTACTGCAGCGATCCCTACTCACGTTCAAAGCCTGGTGAGGGGTGGTTGAGGTGCAGGCGGTGCAGTCGTTGGGTTCACGCAGCCTGAGCTGATTTGCCAAAGCGAAACCAAAAAATTTGTTTGCGAATTGTGTAATTAATTTTTATTGTAATCTCTTATTTTATCATTTTTGTTATGTTGATGGCTCTGTATGTCATTTAGTCCATACGGTATGGACAAAACGGATTTTTCCTGATCTTCACTTAATACTAAATATTTTTGAAAGTGTTGATTTTTCTGACAAAATCTATATGATTCCTGTTAACCAATTAATATAAGCAAAGTTTCAAGAAAAAAATATGTTCCTATTATGAATAATAATAAAGTTATTGATGATTAATAAAACGATGTCATTTTGGACGTACTTCCCCTACATATAAAAAACCATTATACCTTTATAACTATTTAAGGCTGCAATTTTGAACAAGGAGGTTGAACTATTTAAGGAAAATTACTTACAGCGATTCAAATAACGTTACAGGTCGTTGCATGTACGGACTAGACTCAATGGAAAAGGTTTTTAGAATATGTTTTACATGGACTTTTAGAAGAAGTTCCAGTCATGGAAAGATTCTGTATGTGGTACATGCACGACGGAATGCTTAATCCAAAGAACATAATAAAAATTGCACAAAATTCATTGGCGTACATTTCATTGTCACAAATATTGTTTCAGATCCCGCTCGAGGTGCAACTGGACTTAATTAATTTAATCAAGTTAAAATTAGCTCCTTAACGTTGTAAATACCATCGCCTAATCACAACAAAATTAGGTAAAGGATATTCAACACCCTGTACCTGAAGGATTTGCAAAACTATGATGATAAAAACTTTTTGTCTCAGAATTACTCAAAGAATCGTCTGCTAAATTTATGTACATTTGTATAAAATGTATCAGTACGCAGAGCAGCTGATAGGTCATTCCATTCCATTTTGTTTGCAGATAGGTCATGTTTTACCCGACGTGGTATGATAAAATTCCACACAGGTTTACGGAGAAGAAAATACACATGCAGTTTCTGAAGGTAACTTTTTGATTGGTCCATATAGGTTGCCTGATAAGTTAAACGGAGATAGGTATCTTCATTTACACAATGCTGCAAATACATTTAAAAAAAATGACATCTTAGAGAAAATTGTTATGTTCAGGAACGAAAATGGGGGTCACATTGATCATAAAATTTCATATTTAACCGATGAACTAAAACATATTTTCGATAAACATGCGCCACTAAGAATCGTACATGTAAATAAGCCACGTGCAGCCTGACTCACATCACAAATTAAACATATGAGGAAATATAGGGATAGATCTCTTACACAGTTTAAAATTGATAAGACTGAAGAATTTTGGAATCGCTATAAAAAACCTTAGCAATTCAACATTAGCAAGAATTAGATGTGAGAAGACAGCCTATCTATTATCCCTCCGTCGAAAAAACAATTCAAACATTTTTTACAAAGCCTTTAAATCTATGCAGTTGAGATCAATAGTTACTTCTGCTTAGATTTCAACAACACCATTTCTTCATGCACTGAAATGATTGAGCATTATGGAAAAAATCGTTACTCTGATCATCGATTCAGTTTCAATCAAATCGACTTGCTTGATTTAAAATCGATATTTCTATCCTTAAAATCGACTGCCTTAGGAAGCGATGGCGTATCTCTGAGTATGCTGAAACTATGCTTTCCTGTAATTTCATATCATATCTTGCATATTATCGTCAATTCATGTTTAGCAAAGGGGATATTTCCCGAATCATGGAAGGAAGCGTTAGTACTACCTATCGCTAAAATAAATAAACCAGACACATTTTCCGATTTAAGACCCATCAGTATTTTGCCCGTACTACTTGTATCCAAACTACTAGAGAAAGCAATGTACCTACATTCAAATATTCAAATTACTCATTACCTATCAAAATCTCAAATATTGCCTTCCAAACAATGTGGCTTTCCAAAAGGGTTTAGTACTGCAGGTGCGCTAATAGACTTAACTGATAATGTAGTGAAAGCCTGTGATCAGTAACGGTCTCATCGTTAGTTTTGCTAGACTTCTCTGAGCATTTGATATCATAAATCTCTCTTAGTTACAAACGGTAAATATTTTGGTTTCTCTAATTCTTCTGTTAATTTGATTAATGGCTTTTTACAAAATCGATCTCACAGGGTAAGCATTGATATATCTTTATCTTCAAAATGTCTAATTTCTTTACCACAAGGGTCTGTACTTGGACCACTATTATTCATTATATATATACAGCAGTTAAAAATACTGCAATGTTTAACATCGGCATTAAGATCAGATATATATATATATATATATATATCGGCATTAAGATCAGATATATATATATATATATATATATATATATATATATATATATATATCTGATCTTAATGCCGATGTTAAACATTGCAGTATTTTTAACTGCTGTATATATATAATGAATAATAGTGGTCCAAGTACAGACCCTTGTGGTAAAGAAATTATATATATATATATATATATATATATATATATATATATCTGATCTTAATGCCGATGTTAAACATTGCAGTATTTTTAACTGCTGTATCTGAGTTCAATGATCATCTAAAATCTATCAGTACGTTTGCAAAGAATCATAATCTTCAGTTGAACCCGTCAAATCAAGTCATTATTCTTTTACCTAACCATTTAGAAATGATGCGAAAAGAAGCTTTAACATAAATTCAAATTGTGACTACATTGAGGTGAGTGAATCAACTAAAAACCTAGGTATCATATTTGATGAGTGTCTCAAATTCATAACACATGTAAATAATATAACCAAAAATTGTTTTTCCATTCCAACAAAATTTTGTGCAAATCTCTGATCATGTCTAAAATTACGTATTGTGATATAGTTTATGCTCCATTTTTAGACTCCACTTCCCTCATGCGTCTCCAAAGAATTCAAAATTCCTGTTGCAGATTGATCAATAACTTGAGAAAGTATGATCATATCAGCACTTATTTTAGAAACATGAAATGGTTGAGAGTAAAAGCACTATATGAGTTCCACTTACTCACTTATACCCATAAGATCACAGCCATTCCTCCATTTTTGTTACCTAGGAGTTATATTCACACAAGAGACATTCGATTTGCGAACACACTCACAATTTTTCTCCACAAGGCAGCCTTCTTTTGTAAATGCTTCACATACAACGCAGTTATTTTCTATAACGAACTTCCACAAGCTATAAAATTGCTAACTTATGAAAAATTTATAAAAGAAATTAAAATATTTATTTTGGATAAACATACTTGAATCAGTTGCTTTCTTGACCTGTCACTTCGCAAAACTTTTCAGTGTAAGATTTTCTTTGAACTCTAAGATATTTATAATTTATACCTCATACACAACTTATTACTTTTGTTAACATTGATATATATATATTATTAATTTTTTTGTACTTTAAGTGGCAGATAAGCGCTACGCTAAGCTTCGCCCGTAATAAAGACGGTTATTATTATTATTATAATTACTAATTATTATGAAAGATTCGAGTTATTGCCTGCATTAAATAAAATTTTAATAAATAATATCATACTTGTTCATTTTCTCTAACTACACTTAAAGAACTAATACGTGTTAGACGCCTTCAACGGTAAATGAAGTACTTTTGAATAGAGGTTAATCATGTCCAATCGACTTATTTTGAGTCTAAACATACATGTTACTTCTATGTCGACGGGATATTTGGACCATATGTATTATTTAGCTATATTTGGCTGATGCCT